AGCAGGATGTAGCACGTGGAGTCTAGGCTCCAAAAATACGTTTGCACAAAACTACATATGAATGTGAAAGTTTTAAGACTAAAAACCCATTAATTCCTAGACAAATACTGTGTTCAGATAAAAGCTTTATTGAAAATCTTTGCTTCAGTTTGTTTTATCCTGAATTACCCCAATTATAAACCCAAGGAAATCTTTGGAGGTGGGGGGGGGGACACCCAAAACCAAGCAAACACCACAAAATGGTAGAAATATTAATGTGACTTTAGGAACCCAAGAAAAAAAGAACTCTGTCCTGTGGTTTTGCTATGAAGTAGCATAGCAGGACTTCCTCAATAGTTTTCATTCAGAGAACACGGTATTCTCTGCAAGCAACACTGAAAGACATTTATTTTCAAATGAACATGAATAAAATCTTACCCAAAATCTGGAAATCTCCTTTTAGACTTCCCTGATGATGTTCCTTCATTTGTTTCTACTATCTTGTCCTCATTTTTCTTATCTTCCGCTTTTTGTAGACGGGTGAAAAATAAAACTGTTAGTCTAGAGTAATTGCAAGTTTCATATGCTTTGGATGAAGTACAGATTCTTCTAAGTAAATAAGATACTAACGCTTGGCTTTAAGTTCACATTCACACTGACAGGTATTGGCTGAAAATACTACAGCTACACGGACCTAAGTTATTCTCTGCGACATCTTCCTATCTTTCTGGTTCTTTCATATTGTTGACAAATGGCAGCGTAACAGTTGCTGATGACCAATTAAAAGCATTGCTTTTGATAAACAGTAATTCTATACTGCCCACAAAAATTCAAACAAAAAAACCACCTTACTAAAGCCGTCCTAAAACCACCATCAACATTTCACTTCAATGGCTTACAACAAAACATAGCTTAAGGTAGTTTTAGAAATAAGTATCTACCTTTTGCAAAACGCAGGCTTCAAAAACACTAAATAACTAGCATGAGAGGCATGAAAGAAACTCAATTTTAAAGCAGCATTCAAGAAAATACAGCATTTAATTGTCCTTTATTACGTTTCAAGTATTAGAGGTATATAAAGGTGTTCCCTTTCGCATTTCCCCTCAGTCTGGTCCAATAGCTAGCCAGCTGTAACGTGCCTTATTCACGCATACTGCTAGTCACCGCACGTGCGCCTTACCAACACGACAGGCAGTGCCTGGACAGCAGAGAGCCAATGTAACAAGCTCAGTTTCTTCGGAAATAGTACACAAACTTTGAGTATTCCAAAGGAATAAAAATCCACATGCCAGGTCCTATAACTTTTAGTCTTAAGCAGATAGAAACATTCATTCCAAGAGGCTGGAAATTTCCAGCAAGTCTGAAGTTTCTCCAAGACTGTGGTATTTACAAAACTGGAAAACAACCTGCTAGCATCCAAATACTCACCAGGGGGAGCATGTTCAATTCCAACTGTCCAATTATTATTAAGCGAAATTAAGTGGCAAACAAGTATCACTATCTTTTCCCATGGGACTCTGATAGACTACTCCAAGTCCTGAACAAGTGTACTTCCTTTTAAACTCTCAGATCACTGGATTTTTTTCAACAATTAAAAGATTGGAATCAGGTGTTCCAGATAACTACGACATCTACCAAAGAGCTGCAGTGTGCGTTTCCTGAGACAAAGCAGGATTTAGGTTCTGTCTTCAAGAAAAAAGACGACTCCTGACATGAAGGAAGTTGCATGCATATATGCCTTCAGGGATCTTAAGAACTGAAAAACAGGGTCTACTACACAAGACTGAGGGCCACTCCTCTCCACCCTACCTGCCATGGGGCTTTTTGAAGCATATAATGACTATCTCAAAGATGAACACATACTGAATTACATGCTGAATATTCAGCATTTTTTCCTCACCTTTTGTTTTCTGGTTTGTCCCTTCAAGTTTCTGACTAACAATAAAACTTTACCCAATTACTTCATTTTGTAAAATACCTAACATCTAATAAATTATATCTACCAGTCAAATGAGCTATTTTCCCTGTCAGCTTACATACAGAACAGAAGAACAAATTTGTAACAGGTTTTAATGCTGACATTTGCTTCTCCCTCTCTCTCCAGAGGTAATCTTTTAAAAAAAGAGGTAATTTCTAAAACATAGTATATTATAATAGGCTAAATATAGAGCGATACATGAATGGATGGGAAGGCAATAGAAAGGATTATTTCAATAAAATAGTAAGTACACATTTAAATTCTGTAAGACAGCAACAATCTAACAGAAAGCAGCATTTAGTGCCATTTTGCACACAAAGAGGGAACTTCTGATACTAGCATTTGTCTCTGACCTACTGCATTAATTTCCTCTTCCAGCGACTCTGCCCAATTTAAGAAAACGTTTGCAATGCTTCAGTCACCAGGAAAAGTTGTATGCCCTGTGACTATACATAAGTATAATTAAGTAGAAAAGGAAAAAAACCCACATTTTGAAAAGAATTTTTTACACAGGATAGCATACAGACCACTTCTGAGTGAGACTTCACAGAGACATATCAATCACTAGATTATAGATCATTTTGTTCAGGGTACTAAAAGAAAGGTTTTATGCCAGCTGCATAAAAAAGATTGCAATTATAATCTGCCTTGATAAAACATGCCACGCTGCTGAAGTAAATAACATGTAACATTAACAATAACGAATAATTTAAAGAGACTCAGATTACAAAGAAAAAAGGCAAGTATTTTTATCAAATGCCTAGTAGTGACTGCGACAATTATAATCCTTTTAAGTCTATTCCCTGTGAGAAATATCTTAACAATGCAGTAATTCCCAGAATACTCCAAATCCATGATCTTGTTTAAACACCTGGATCATATCTGGAAACACGAAGCCAACGCTGAACTTTTCTGGGAGTCAGGAAACCAGTCAAACTTATTGTCTGATACACTGCCACAGAATCACATAAATATGTCAATGCTTTTACTGGTTATCCACAGACAGTAATTTAACAGAACAGAACAGAATGGCTGAGGTTGGAAGGGACCTCTGGAGATCATCTAGTCCAACCTCCCTGCTCAAGCAGGGTCCTCTAGAGCATATTGCCCAGGATCGTGTCCAGACAGGTTTTGAATATCGCCGGTGAAGGAGACTCCACTACCTCTCTGGGCAACCTGTTCCGGTGCTCCGTCACCCTCACAGGAAAGAAGTTTTTTCTCAGGTTTAGATGGAACTTCCTGTGGTTCAGTTTCTGCCCATTACCAAACTGATTTAGACCTGTTCCTTTCTGTAGCTAACCAAAACGTCATTTAGTCCATGGGAGCCTTTTAGACGAGACCTTAAAAATGTGAGGTTGTCTGCTTTCTGGGGATATCAAAATATACTTTAAAAGAAGCTTCTAGTTACACAGTCTTTGTGAAATACTTTGTTTTCCTTAAATCATCTAATAAAAAAAAAATCATACTGTATCTATTATGCAATGCAACTGCTCACCCTGGAAGAAAATCTGACCTATTTCTACGGCAGTATATGTGAAATAGGTGTTTGCGGATTGTTTCTTCAAATTTGTGCTATACTTAAAATTTTCAACTAGCGATAAACTGAAGACAATGCAAATATTAGTGAAGATGCTTGCATATCTTGAAGAAATAAGGCTTAACTCAACCAAGCCCAAGACCATAATAAAAACTTTCAGTAGCCACGGCAATCAAGTATTCCCACGAAAAACTCAGATGTACCATTTATTTAAACTATCAGACAGTTCTGTTAATATCTGGGTAATATTTTCCAAAGACATAAACATTCAACAAATTCTTGCCTTCCAACTAGACAAAGAACACTACAATGATACCGCCTGGTAAATACGTACGTGACTACAAATCAAATAAGATATTCTAATCTATAGTAGAAAGGCATGAAAATTCTTATTGCCATCAATATAAATCTGGAAATTTCTTACTAAGTATGATGGGAACGGGTCCTAAACCAGATCCAGAAATTTGAAGGGCCCTGCCCCCAGCACTTGTCATAGATATATATTGGACTCTGTTAGAGCCATTGATTATAATCTCAAGTGCATCTTCACACAGATGACATTATTTCATTAGCGCCTGGCAAAAAAGATCAGGAGCACGGCTCCATTTCCAAAGCTACAGTTTGTCATCAACAGATATTCTTAACTCAAGGAAGAAGCGCTGACTAGTTGGACAGCACATGCAAAGCACTTTAAACAGATCCACACATCAGGTAGAGTTGACACCAGAAAGCTGTCAACTTCATGTCCTGATTGGAGGGCTCATACCTGAGATTACTTGGAAGTGAGTCCAGTTTTAACATACTTCAGTGCTCAAAAACTTACAAATTATGGTCTCAAGGCCTTACTAATTACAGTCATTATCATTTTATCTTCTGAACTATTTTAAACACTGTGCTCCTTTTACTACATCTAATGCAAATTCACCTAGTGACAAAATGTTGAATTAATCTCCATGGCAGCAACCAAAAATAAATACTACTTTTTTTTTTTTAATTAAACTTTTTGACGCTTGGATGACGGTTGTATTTTACTGTATACATGCATGAAGCCACACAGAAGCTGTGACGCTGGACTCACTCTAGAGTGAATTAAGCATTGCAAAGTCCTTTTAGGCGTCTGACTACTAGTGCCAATGCTGGAAAACGCACACTCGATTCTATTCCTTTTTACGACACACTGCCAACATGTGCACGTGCCTTTTTGTGAAGTGCCAAGTTCTAGACAGCATCGCTACTTTCCTCAGAGAAGCTGCCTATATCTGGTCATTTGTATTGAACTTCTTTTCTAAAATACAACCCACAACACCAGTTTCTATTTTGTAAAAATTTTCTAAGCATTTTGTATCATACTAGAAACAAACAAATTCTATTTTCCTGAAGAGTTTACAAATGGTCTTACAACAGGTAATTTTGTAACTAATTCATTTTCCTGCTTTCTAACTAGTTTATTGTTCAGTAATCATTTATATCTAAACTAAGCAATACTTGGACTCCAAAGGATTAAAAAAAAAAAGAATAAAAAAACCAACCCTTAGAAGTCTTACCCTTGGCCTCTTTTCCTTTCCCCTTTGCTTCTCTTTGCTTAACGTTCTTGGGATACCCTTGAGGAGAGTTTGGAACCATCTCTTCTGAAGGAGGTGAATGTGTGGTACTCGTGCTGTTTTCACCGTTTGGCTTGTGTACGGGGGAAGACTGTGTGGAAGCAGAAGGGCTTGACTCTAAAGGACTTTCTGCGCTTTCTGCTGGTTCAGGCTTTTCACTCTTTTGATCCATGTCATCCAACTGGGAGAGAGTTAACTTTTCAGTTATTTCTAAGGTCTTGGTTAAGCACACAGCGGAAAGTTCTCTGTTGTGAATAGTATCTTCTGAATCCTCATCCTTCAAAAAATTAAAAAAGTTTTTATGCAAACACAACATGTAATCATTTACTAACTTTACTATTCGATCTTTTACCAGGATCTAAGGGTATGCTGCGCTACATAAAAACTTCCTCAATTCAGAAAACAGCAAATAGACCAAAGTTTAATCACATACAGTTATCATCTAAATCACACCTTGGCCATCCCAGTTCAAGGCAGTCACTTTTAAAATCTTCTCAGTTTAACTAAAGTAGTTCAGTCTTCTCCCTCTGTGACAATCTCTCTCATATACCGCTTACATACCTCAATTCAACTGTTTTTCCCTTTCTGCACCAAAAAAAAATCACATTTCTTGTCCTCACCTTAAAAACTCTGCAAGATTGCATATGTCCATTAAACTATTTTCATTTTTTTATCATCTCTTACTTGCTCCACTAAAGAAGTCTAATATCTGAAGTCCAGAACCTGCTTCAATTAGAATTTCACGGGCTATAACACCTACAGTGTGGATAAGGATTTCATCAGGATGGTAATACACTGCTGACAAGGCAATAAACTTGTCATGGAAGATTGCCACCTTAAGAGAGAATACAGACATGAACCTTACCATCTTACGCCAGTGAAAATTAAAATAGGAGCAGCCACAAGCTAACTTTACTAGTTGACTACACTTCTAGAAAAACGAGCAGAAAAAAAACAAATATATAGCTATGAGATCTTCAGAGCTATCCCGATTACTCCGGTACATCAGAATACAAAAACTCATATTTTTGAAGGACTTATATGATTTCTAACTCCTAGCTTTTTCAAATAGGGGGAGACTGCTGCTACACATTTCCACAAAAGTACAAAGGCAATATCAAAAACTCGTAGGTTTAAATAATAAATTTAAACATTTAAATAATGTTGCCCATTTTAATTTAACAAAGGAGTCAAAAAAGGCAAGGACTTGAAAGCTAAGTTATGAATAAAATTTAAGGTAAATTAATTTTCAGGGAATTCTACCTCTAGAGCAGTATAAGAAGTTGGACTGGAATACATGGAGAGGAACACAGCCCCAGGGAAAAAGAAAACAGTGGTTGGTACCGAGTCTCTACTCAGATGCCTTTTGCCTCATACTGCTAAGAAAGTGTCTGAGCACTTTAAACTCGCGTAAATTCCAAAGAAAGGCTAACTACGACTCAGCAGCCTCCTCTCTGAAGTTATTTTTAGAGTTTTTTTTTTTTTTTTTTTTTTTAAACTCTGCTACTACCTGCACATAGTTGATCCAAGTTACAGTTTTTTCATTTTGTAAAGCAGAGAGACAAAAAGGGTGCCACCACCAATGGAAACTTCTTAGTGAAATTCTATGCCCATGCAATTATCATGAATGAAAAACCATGCCGAGAATAGCCAACCATCACACAATTAAGTATGGAAACAGAAAAGTTAATCATTGTTACACTGTATCAATGGCAATGCAAGCCTAAAAACAAGGACAAAAGCTATACAGTCCCATAAATCTGCTAGATGATTTTTACTGGTATATTTTTTGTGAACTGAAGTGACTATTTATGGAGCAACGAAGCATCTTAGAAAGGTACAGTTTTTAAAGAAATTTGGTAACTGTTTCAGGTGAAAGAATTAACAGATAAATATATTACAAAAATATACTACTACTACTACAGGAAAGTCTTTCAATCAGTAAAAAGAATACGGCAAACTCGCATACTTTTTCTTTTTTTTTTGCTCACTTGAAGTTAACTGTTTCTTCAGAGATCACATGTGGTATGCACCTGAATAGCTTTTTTTCCACTTGACACAGCATAAAAATCTGATACTTCCACACAGTCTGAATGAAGCACGGGCAACACTTAAAATGGTGAACGTAAATAAAATTGAATATACTTTCAGGCTCCTGAATGAATAATTATCTGTTATCTGTACCTGTTGATTTGCAGTCTGTTGTCCAGCCCCAAGAGATTCTTTCAGCTTTGATCGAGAAGGTGGCTGGCGTTTTACTTTCAAAGCAAGCTGAGCTTTTGCTTTGTGGGCACTGGTATCTAATCTGGGAGTATCCCCAACAAAAGCATCAAAATCTGCAAAAAATATGTACTCCTTTAAAAAAAAATTGATAAACAAACACTCCAACCCACTGTCCAGAAACATCTTCAAAAGTTAGAGCAGAATTATTTCAGCTGTTTATTATGAAAACACTATTTTCATATAATAACTACAACATTTTAATATATTAAGTGAATTTGTGCCCAAAATATGCTTTCCTATCCTTATTCTTTAAGCCAGGGACCCTTAAAAAAAAGTACATAAGCATCTTTTTAGAATATGCTTCTCACTTGAATCAACACCTGAGAACATTCTGGGCATAACATTACCATAATACTTAAATAGAAATCACTGTAAGTTTTGGGATAAACCAAGTTTTGAAACAATACTTTTTTTTTTTTTTTTTTTTTTAAATCTGATGTACCTCAGTGTTTTACTCTCAATAACACTATCCATTTCACCAACAGAGAATCTGAGAAACAGTAAAGGTGATTATTCTCCCCTTCTAACTCCTCTTTCCCACAAGATTTTAAAAACACATTACTACAATACAGAAAATGCTGCGGGACCTAGGCAAAAACATCCACAGTGGCTCAGGCCAAATACTTATCTAGCTAGCAGGAAACAGCAGCCCCTACTTTTTTTTCCTTTTCCTTTTTTCTTCTTCATCTTTTAAAACCACACATACACGTCTACTAATTTTTGTTTTTGATACATGTAAATCAAGAATCCTACACCTACTGCTAACTTACCAGAAATTAACATATCTGTAGAATCTAACCTTTCCTCTACTGTCTCTGTTTCCTTTTTTTCTCTCATCTTTGAGGGCTCATTCAATTGGCCTGGATTTTGACAGACATCTTCCAATAAACTGCTGCTTCCAAACATATATGGCATTTGCTCATATATTTGTAGTTTGTTTTCAAGCTCTGAAATCTGCAAGAGTTAAAGTTTAAAAGTCAGACACCACTTCCCTAGAATGCAAAAGTTGGTTTCAAAACATAATACTGCCTTACTTTTTCCTGATATATTTTCAGCTGTTCTGCATATTTCTGGTCTCTCTCTTCAAGTACCCTTGAATGATCCTCTTCTTTTTTCATAAATTCTATTTCTCTGGTAAGAGAAACACATGCAGTTGCATTTCAATACTAAAATGCTTTATACTAGTAAGCACGGTGAAAAAATCAGTCTGTAAGCTATAACAACGGTGATTTATTAATCTTATAACATCACCAAATGATCTATGTATTTCTAGGCTTTCACTGTCTTAAGAAAAAAATAAAATTACGACACTATAATTTACTCTGGGCTGAAACACGATGTGTTACAACACTTTTCTACAGAATTACATCCATTTCTCTACCTTTAAGAGGTGGCTAGAAAGTTATATTTACACATTTAAAATATCAGGCGTATGCAGAAAGCTAATCGTTAGATCTTACTCACTTCCACAAAGGAACACAGACACTGTGCTACTGCAAAAGCAGTGTTTTAATTCCAAAAGCTATGGTCAAATTCTTTAGTAGGAAACTAATGCCATTTTATGTTTCTACTTGGCTCATCCCACAGAAGCTGCAATGGCTGGGTTTTACAGAAACAAAAAAGGAAAAACAATTACAAGAAGGAAACAAAAATAAAAGGTGCTTTTTCCTGCAAATCAGATAGAATAACATGCAGAAACACAAAGCTGAACATCTAAAACAATATACAAAAATTTCAGGTACAGTCAAAGAAATAACAGGAATTCGCTAAACAGTGAAGAAACGGAAGCTCACATGTTAGCAGTCACCTTCAACACACATTTGATATTCAGTTGTCAAGGGGAGAGGGGAAAGGAGGAGACAGTTCACCCAAGAGCACAAAAAGCGCAGACTGGAAAGTAACATTTCTAGATGTGGACTACAGAGCAAAACGGTCATGCAAACTACCTTTAGAAATAAGTAGCAAACGCAGAAATCGGGACAAGAGAATTATGTCCTTACAGTAACTACCAAAAGCAACAGTTGTGTTCTGTATTATTGAGACACTTCTGTAAGTATTTTACAATTAACTCTTGTTCAGCTAAGAAGAAGGTAAAACAAGCAGCCACAATTGCATGACAACACAGTATTCAAATCTTATGCAGCTGTACCTAACAAGACGTATTACCACTACCTGAAAAAAAACCCAAACCTGTTAATGGATTAAAAACACTGCTTTTATGCTGCTATTTTTCATGAATTACGTATATAACAAAAACTCTGTTAATTTTTTCTCAGAGTTCTTTTTACCCCTCACTACAAAACGTAACTTTTAAATCAGATGACTGAATCGCAGGTATCTGGCCCTTATCCAGATACCCTTATGAGCTTCAGAATGGAAATGACTCTTCGGACAAGATGATTTAGACACACGGGATCTACTAGATTTTTTCTCAAAAGGAAGCTACCAGATTCTTCACTAAGTAATGAAGAGGTCTGTGGTAAGGAGTACTAACCATAAACCAGCACAAACGCTAATTCGACAATGTTAACAGCTTGCCAGGGAGGTGATGCAATCTCTACTGAGGAAATGCCCAGTATTTATTTATTTTGCAAAAGCACAAGGGATTTTCAAACCAGGATCTTGGCACTTCTATTATAAATACTGTGAAGCAAATAGTTCCTACCGAGGAACATCAAAATCAGAAAGAAATTACAGGAAAAATTGAAAGGCTAAACGCTAGACTATTTAGTTCTGTCACTTTTGCATGACACAGCATGGAGAGGATATTAAGAACACTGAAACTCTCTTATTTCTTCCTAGTTTTTCTGAAACTGGCAGAACGTGACACTGCAGAACGGTTTGCCTTATTAAATGAAGAACTGAGGTAAAGCTATTAGAGCCAAATCTTGACAAGACCATCTGATAATTCCAGTTTCCAATTTGAGGTAGTTAGAGAAGGATTTTCAATCTCTACCAGAACTCTAGTATTGCTGTCAGTTCTTCCCATAACATACAAAACACACAAGCAAGAAACGGAGACTTAGTATTTTGAGGCACTTACTTTTGCTGGTAATCTTTGAGCAATTTCTTGGCCTTGTTGTATTTCTTTTCAAGGGCATCACATTGTTCCTGGGTTTCTTTAAGATGCTCGTTTACTGTTTTGCATAAACTCTGTGCCTCTATCCAGTAGGTTTCCAACTTCTTAATTTTCTCTTTGTTTTCTTCTATGTTTTGCTGAAGTTGGGCTCGACTTGATTCCCATTCAGTTTTTTCTGTTTCAACAATTTTTAACTGAAAAGAAAACATTAGTACTTAAGGAATTAATCTAAACTAAAAACTGAAATCAAAATAGTTATTTATACCTGTTTAAGTAGAGAACAGCTAATAACAATTACTTTTTATCAGTAATATTAAAATAACATACTGAAATTTTATCTATTCAGACAGATGCCACCAATCACGTAGCGAAAGTATCCAAGAATCATTGTGCTTAATTTTTTTCCCCCGCTAAGGAAATAGGCAGAATTAGACTGTTGCTTAAGAACATGTCCTCTTCCTCCTCTTTACTATTTGCTATTATCAGATGTCCTATCACAAAGGCTCAGAGACTCTGTAATAGCTTTCTCAATGCCCAGTAACACAAAACCAAGCAAAACTATTCCAGGTGTATGTTTATTTTAATTAATTTCAGCAGGCATGCCAGACGAACATTCTGCTGTTTATTAAAATATCATGAGCAGTTTTGTCTTTGATTTAACAAAAAAAAAAAAAAACCAAAACAACCCAAAACCACACACATACACTCTTCTCAGTTTTCCTACAGTCATGCTGAAATTTTAAAATTCAAAAAACCAGAAGCATCTCCCACTCTGAAAACCATGTGCTTACAAGACTAGCTAGTCTGACTGCCAGGTAAGGCTCTTTACCTTGTAGCAGTGTCATCTGCACACAAGACTGACACTCATTTCCCACCAATGGGTGGATTTTTCTGCAGAAAAGAGCAAATGGCCAAAACTCTCCAAACTCTCCAGAACAGTTCTTTCCACGTACACATATTACATTTCCTCAGGATGCGGTTTCTGTAAGTATCTCCCGAGTACCTACTTCTTCTAACACACATGTACTCCATGTGTGTGTGTTTGTGTGCGTGCATAGGGGTGTGTGTATACACACACACATATATGTATAAAAATAAGTAGAACATCTTCTCTGTTATGGAGGATGTAAAGTGGTCAGGGGAGACACATAACTGCCCTCAATTCTCTTTTCCAAACATCTGTGTCAACAAGCAGGGAAAGGCAGCAAGTACCCGTGGACAATTAGCGTAAATAACAATACTTTTAAAATACCTATTTTGGAAGTAATATAGGCATTGAATTTACAGTGAAGAAGGTGTGCTGAAAGGCTGCTGATGGGAGTAATCCAGTTGTCTCACTCCAATGAATGAAATTCCTGACAACTCCCATCTGAAGAATGTATCTTACCTAACAGACTCCTTGACTAACTGTTCAGTTAGCCAAATCATTTTATTAGCCCTTTTAGTTCTGTCTCTCACCGATTTACAACATGATGTGGTGATCAATACGGCGATCCCAATGACAGGATTTGGGGATTTCCAAAAACTGCTTTTTGGAAACAAGCATGCTCTTCTATATATTGGAAATAGTATTTCTCACATTACATCGGACACAATATGACTGAACATCTCAGCTTGCAGGCAATAAGTTCCAGTTGCCTTTGAAAGTGGAGATATGGAGACTTAACATGTACCAGATGAGCTCCTCGTCCTACTATTCTGTTACCAACAGCTTGCTGAGTAAACAAATGAGAAGAGTAGGTCTTCCTCAGTAATCTAATAAAAGGACTTCCTAAAAAATTAGGACACAGCTTGGTTTGCCTTCCTGGTGCTAATGAATGAAAAGTAAGCATTCTCTCAAAGCAGGAAAGAGACGGTCCCGTTTGGTTTAACGGTGGTTGCGTCATTAAACAGAATATTAATATATGTACAGTTCTCCTGATCTCAGAGGAGCGTGCAGACAGGACACTGCTTAGTTCATCCATGCCTCCTTCTTTGGGGACATTATTTACAATGAGGAAATCACTGTTTCTTAAGCCAGATAAGATAACTTGGGGACGGGGCAAATGTCTTGAGAGGTTCAATAATTTCTTGAATTAAAAAGGGAGCAATAAGTTGTACTGAAGACAAGATTTTTAACAGCTTCTTACCAATCCAGTAGGTCAAATTTCAAGAACACTGCAAGGAGGAGTACTATCAGAAAGCAAGATCAGAACTATCATAGGAATGCAAAGAGATTGTGGCTGCCTTGCCTCTCTACACCTGGAGCTACGAAGCATCAAGTCTGCAGAGCGTAGGAACAACCCCAACAGATACTGTTACTCCAAACGATTGCAATCTGAAGGACTCGGGCACACCCACCCACCCAGGAAAAATCTGCTGCAACTTGTCCTAGGGTACAGATGGCTCAGTAAGGCAATACAGAAGGGCAACTGAATAAAAGAAGCTGTTCACCTACAGCAAATATTTCCAGAAAAAGGCTGCGCACAGATCTCCATCAGTGAAAATAGCGGCAAAAAGAACAATAAACCTTCCTCAGAGAAAACAGAAGTGCTGAGCCAACCATCACTCAAAACAAGCTGAAAATATTCTCTCCTCCCCAAAGCAGGTGAAAAATTTCAGGGAGGAAGAGGGGAAAACAAGGTACTCTAATAACAGAAAATTATCTTAGGCACAAACCACTGCTTGTAAGTGACAAATCTCTATTTGAGAAAGACAAGTTCTATCCACTGAAAACATTTCCATGCCTGTTTAGGAGTTTGTTTCATACAATATTCAGCTCAGTTCAGTTCTACTATAAGGAGTAATATAGAAGCATTCATTTTATAATGGCTCAGCATTGTTGTTGGTTTCTTTTTTTCATTTGACTGCAGCTCTTCAGCTTATGAAGGCCTAGGTAGCACAACACAGTACATAGGGTCTGAGGCCTAAAGCAGTTTGCTGTCTTCTGGTTTCAACCTATTTGTAGCAAAATTCAGTTAGAAATGAAAAATTTAGTAATAAGACTGTTTGAAAACTTACTTTCTCCTTCAGCTGATTAACTTCCGCCATTGTTACTGCATGCTTTAATTGTAGCTGAAACAAAAACATATTTCTGTAAGAGCACACACAAAATGACACTTGAATTGTTAGTTCTAAGTATTTTGGATGTGATTCTCTTCTTCCTCAAGCTGTTTTTACAGTAGCGTAAAATCAACTTAATTATTTGTTGATTACAGAATTGATTAAGAGCCTTTATTAAAAGACTTAAACACCAATTAAGATCGATCCACGGTATTTTATTTGATACAAAAAAACAATATATGATCACCCAGCGTGAAAAATCCTGCACTGTTTTCTATACATTAAGTGAGGGGTTAAAACGTGCACGAGAGTTAAAAGGTAGTGATGCACTTATGACGACACATTGTATATGAAATCAAGCAAAAATTTAGAAATACTGAACATTTTTACTTATCAACATTTATGAATAAATATACTGTTGTTTTGTACAGTATTGTACACCACTAGTCTTCCTAGAATCACTAGAGCTGGATAAAGGCTACATCCAAGCCAAAGGTAAAGATAATTGTTAACAAGTCTTAAGAAAACAGCATGCATAGAGGTGTAAAAGCACACTTTTGGACAACTCTCAGTTACTTCTTATGTCTCACTTTGCATCTGTAACTCTGGGGAAAAAAAAAAAAAAACTGCGAGGCATAGTGCACCAAACATACATTAAAACAAATGAGTCCATGAGTTAGAATGCTTCATTTAGATTACGGTAATAACAGTGTGGTAATGATTCTAGGTAGGAATTTAATTGTATCCCAAGCAAATATGGTATTTATGAAAAGATGCCCTACTTTGCTGCTATGCTTCCTAATCCTAGAAAAACTCTAAGTGTTCTCTAGTGATCACTACTCTAAAATTGCAACTTCAACAGTATTATCAAGACAGCAAACTCAATGCCTGCCAACTACTGATCCTTTATAAAAATAAGTACGTACAAAATAGCATCTTAAAATGCCAAGCTGAGACAAAACAATTTTTATTTGCCATATATTTTTCTTCTCCAGATTGAAAGTGACAGGGACTTAAATCTACCAAAGAAACACAGGCTCCCAAATGTCAAACACTATACCACTTAAATCCCAGATTAAACTCCACAGGTCTGAGTAAGGCAAATAAGATCTTTTGTAACATACTGGTAAACTAAAATCCAATTTCCCAGTGGTATCAAGATGGGAGTCACAATTTGGAATCCCTACTGGGTTTACAAATTCATTACTGCCAAAAAACCTGAAAGAGTCAACTAAAGAACCCCTCTAAATCAAAAATATGCATTCTACAGAATATGGTGCTTTTCTGTACACAGACAGTTACCAGAAGACCTCAGTGACGGTAACCTCTGGATGTTGGAGGTCTAGGTGCCTTGTGACTTTTGGCCTGACAAAATTTACACGTGTATTTTTGTCTCCCTGAAGAACGCAAAACTGCGGGGCTAGAAACTGTTCAGAATGGGGATACTCATCTTTCCCCACCCCCTGCACCTAGAGCTTTCGCACTTTGCAGCAAAAAGCGCAAGGTCCAACAAGCCAAAGAAATAAGAGAAACACCATGAACTACGTAACGTGATGTTCACAGACCACAACAAGGAGGAAGGTGGTCTTGAGTTCTAATGCCTGCTCCAAGCTTCTTTTTAATTAAAATCAAATGACTGCTTTACATAAATTTACACAGGGAAGCAGGGAACAAAGTTACAGAACATTTCAAAAGACACGAGATTGTTATTGGTGATGACGGGGAAAGAAACCCAAAAACCACAAGAAGAGGGACATGAAGGAGATTATAACAAACCTTTTCAGATTCAGATGTTTCCCAATGCACCACAAAGAACATGTAAGAAACTGGTACTGTACCTCTTTAAACTTAAGAAGAAACTGTGCTGAATCCATATCCAGTGGTAAACCGATATCTTCATTTTCAGGAAGATCAAAAACTTCTACAGATTTCCCATGCAAATGTGACTCAAATGTATCTTCATCATCATAGTCATCATCCTGGCAAGATGTAAAAACCATGACATCCTGTAACACACATGCTTCTCATTATGGTAGCAGCAATGAGGTTCACACACAATTAAGGAATCCAAACAGTTGCAAAGTTTTTCTTGACTTGTTACTATTCCTTTTTAGTTTCTTTTATCTAGAATATTCTTTAAAGTTGACGTGCAAACATTTTTCATAAAAATTCCACAAAAGAGACCTAAGTAAGCAATCAACAAAACAAGCCATGGCTGACGCTCAGAAATAACTTCAATTATTGAGAAGTTGGAAGCATAGCAAGTAGTGATAATCACGTGCCTTGATAATGGTAACTTATGAAATTATTTTTTTTCCGTTTTAATCAAGTTGTCTGTCTTATTCCTTTTTCAGAGAATCACAGAACGGTTGAGGCTGGAAGGGACCTCTGGAGAACATCTAGTCCAAGTCCCCTGCTCAAGCAGGGTCACCTAGAACAGCCTGCCCAGGACCCTGTCCAGATGGCTTTTGTACATCCCCAAGGAAGGAGACTCCACACCCTCTCTGGACAACCTGTTCCAGTGCTCAGTCACCGTCACAGTAAGAAAGTTTTTCCTCACGTTCAGACAGGACTGCCTGCGCTTCGGTTTGTGCCCGTTGCCTCTCGTCCTGTCACTGGGCACCACTGAAAAGAGTCTGGCTCCATCTTCCTGACATCCTCCCTTTAGATACTTAGATGCATTGGTAAGATCCCTGCCTCAGTCTCCTCCAGGCTGAACACTCCCAGCTCTCTCAGCCTTTCCTCATAGGAGAGATGTCCCAGTCCCTAAATCATCTCAGTGGCCCTTCACTGGACTTGCCCCAGTAGCTCCATCTCTCTCTTGTACTGGGAGAGCCCAGCACTGCACACAGCGCTCCAGACGTGGCCTCACCAGGGCTGAGTAGAGGGGGAGGATCAAAGATCACCTCCCTAGACCTCCTGGTAATGCTCTTCCTCATACAGCCCAGGATACCATTGGCCTTCTTGGCCATAAATGCACATTGCTGAATCATGGTCCACCAGGACTCCCAGGTCTTTCTCTGCAGAGCTGCTTTCCAGCAGGTCAGTCCCCAGCCTGTACTGGTGCATGGGGTTACTCCTCTCTAGAGGCAGGACTCTGCACTTGCCTTTATTGAACTTCATGAGGTTTCTCTCTGCCCATTTCTCCAGCCTGTCATGGTCCCTCTGAATGGCAGCACAGCCCTCTGGTATATCAGCCACTCTTCCCAGTTTTGCATCATCAGTAACCTCGCTGATGGTTCAGTCTGTCCCTTCATGCAGGCCATTGATAAACAAGTTAAACAGGATTGGAGCTAGTATCGACCCTGGGTTACACCGCTAGTTACTGGCCTCCAATTAGACTTTGCATCTTTTTGCTTCAGTTTGATTCAAAAAAACATTTATCCCATTTACAGAAGCTACTGCATGCATACATCATCTACTTTATAAAATATAGTATTTATGGTGTTTTACCTGCTCTGTATCATCATGAGCATAGTGTTGCTCATATAAACATCTCTCTTGCTCTAAAGTCTCACTAATGAGACGGGCTACTTCACTCTGAGTCCCTGGTTTCTCTCTTCCAATCAGAAACCTACAAAAGAAAACATCGTGCAGCAGAAAGCTTAAGATATGCTTAAGAGATTTTTATCTTGCAGTACTGCTGCTTCCAATGACATCTTTGTAAAACTTTCAAATTATGTATTCTCCATTAATGAAAAATTACAATTCAAAAAAAAAGGGTAGTATTTGATAGAAGACATACATACCTCACTGTGCCTTTAGTGTTCTTGAGCACAGTGGCTGCAAAGAACTGAGTAACTCCCACTAGACTTATACCATCAACTTCAACAATCTGATCATTGACTTGAATTCTGCAAAATAAATAAATGCTTAGCTATCAGTTCAACAAAAAGATTTCAGCTTGACAAATTATTCACATGACCACCTGAAACTCCCTAGTATTTATAATAAGAAAGCTTGTTTTTAAGGAATGAATTTCTCAGGACTTAGTCTGCTGATTCTCAGTTAAAACTGCAGATAACCTATTAGAATTTATATAGTCTTCGCCGTGGTATTTTTATACCATATACACATTGATTGGTGTCCTCCGTTGTCAGCATGATTTTGTGGCAGCATTACACATGGGCACACTCTGAGCTTCATTCCCTGTATGTAGTATACCTACGTACCCAGTAGCTCTATGTTTATTTTACAAAATGCCCTATGTTAAATCAAGTAACTTTTAAAAAACTTTACATAAAGCAGCAAAGTAACTTATTCAGTTGTGTGCAGCTTTTGCCCCTTTATTCACAGTATTCAACATATCCAATTAAAACAATTGGGATTAGTTAAGAGTTAGCAAAAAGCATAATCAATTCAATAGAAAACTCACCGTCCATCTTTCTGAGCAGCTCCACCATCTGTTATTGTTTTTACAAAAATACCTAGTTTTTCTAGTCCCTGGTCTGCACCAACTCCCATTCCAATAATACTGATGCCCAGACCACTGTCACCTAAGGGAGTCAAAAAATTAACATCAACCACACAGCATAAGATGTAACACTGTTCCAAGTCCATCCATACGAAAGATATGAAAATTCACATATTAAAAAAATGTAATGAATACCAAAGAACATATTTTCTGTCTAGATTCAACTTACTAAAGCTCTTTGGTATTGTAGCTATGACTACATAGCCTGTTAGATGAAAAGTTTCATGGTATCTGCAAGAGAATTCTACCTCAAAGATTTATGAGCTCTGTGTATGCTAGCCCCAATCTGCCACTCATTAATGTAGCCTTCCTAACTTCAATTAAGTATGACAATTTGCACTTAACAGAGGCCATTCCTGTAAAAATTCAGTATATTCAAGAGAACTATTCCCAGATGAAAGCTTGAACACATTCAAAATTTCAAAACCTAAATTCAGTGAAAATGCAGTTTAAAATTTCTTTATCTTTCACGTGCATAGTATCTCTTTCAAGCAAGTACTCGAGGTTTAATTTGCACCTTTTTCTATTTCTACAGGAAACACTTCCATTTTTTCCACCCTTTTCTCAAGTTCATACTCAGCTGAGGCTGCCACAGGATCAACTTCTTCGTTACGTCTATCATAGTCTTCATTTGAGTAAGTACTGAAAACCTAGGAAAGGTAACAGAAATTCTCATTTCAGTATTTTTTCTCCCCTTCCAAACATGATACAATTGAAAGAAAATCAAAAAAGGAAATTAAAGCTGTATTTTTTAAAGATCTTATTTTCTAAATAACCATCAATTTATTTGTAGCAGCACTAAATACTGCTGTCATAAGATGTTTCTAACTTATACAGAAATAACACTTTAGAAGTTTCAAAACAATTAAATGCTTTTTTTTTTTGGTAAATGCAATAAATCTTTAAAATAAATCAGTTCAAGAAATCAGTTGCCGCCTCTTTGATAAATAGTGTCTCTTTCTTTGGATTACATTCTCCCAAATCCCTCTTCCTCTCTTCTCCCCTCCCTCCACACCATCTGCCAATTACAGTGCTTCGAACAGATGTAGTTTTCTGATTTTGCAGGGGAATCACGCAGTTTCCCAGGAAAAGGAAATGCCTTGTTACATACATTACTATTTTTAGTAATCACTCCAGCTGAATTTCTGAATTGTTAAAAATAAAGGATAAGCAAACAACACAAATGAGTAACCAGTATTAAGATAAAAATCTAGAAAGGAAGAAAGAATGAGTAATATAGCAAGGTTAATTTTACTATTCAGCATGTTCATGAGTTATGTTTAAATACATATAAGTTAGGGGGAAAACAAAAACAAAAAAACCCACAAGAGTCATAGTCCCTGCCCCCCAAGCCCCCTCAAAGATGAAAAACAACATTTACCTCAAAAACAAGGTTTACATGCTTAATTCTTTTGTGGGTACTGTGCGTTTTCCTCAATAGCCCCACGAGACAAAAAACACTCAATTATGGATGGCAGTAGTCTCCCTAATCAATGATGTCCAGTGCTGACAGAAAGTTACTTTACATTGCCTACTGAGTTTTTGCAACTTTTGCATTTTTGCACAAAGACTACCTAGACACGTAACTAATCATGTAAATAGCACAGAATTATATGGTGCTAGTTCTCTCTGGCAGTAAACTCAGATTCAGGAAAAAAAAAATTATTAAAACAGATTTCCAAAAAGTAACTAAGATAACTGTTTTAGGAAACTTTTAGAAACTCTGCCAAATGCTACATTAGCCTGTAAAGCCTGGGCCACTCCACAAACATGACATGGCCATATCTTTAATGAAGCAGTCCAACAAATAAGCAAGATTAGATCCACTGGGTTGAAGAAGAAAGAAAGAAATCTATGCTTTTGGAAGCTTCTCCCCCTGCCCCCTACTCCCCCAAAAAAGAGCCTTACTACAAGGAGTGCTGAAAAGGATTTGAATTCTTCTCAAGTCTTGCATAAAGGCAAACAAACTAACAAACTCCTTTGGACGGTCACCCAGACACCAGTGGGCAAAAATTGGCAACAGAGGGATGACAAGGGATGCACTTGTGGTATCTGTCTTCCATAACCTTTAAAGAAAAATCTGCAAACTAGCATATGAAAATCATCCAAATGGCCTCAAGAATCCTTACTCTACCAATATAAAAAAAAGGTGGCAACATTCTTTAAACCAATACAAAAAATTGTAAATATGATATGGAGTAGAAGCATTTTGAGTTCATGAAGCACGGTGCTCCCTTTGGGAGGAGACCTGGCTAGCTTGGTTCCTTGCCATCCCACAAAAGGGCCAACCTCCCTACCCAAGGAGACAGTCAAGTTACACTAATAGGATGGAATTTAAACTAACAACAAGAAGAAAGTTCAAGAGCGGACAAAAAAGTACTTTTTAGCGTGAATACTGTGTTCTTAAGAACAAAATGAAATACTAGGTGCATGAAAAATAACAAGAAATAAATCAAGGCTGCTCATTTATAAGTGCACATGTGACTTAGCGTTAATAACTTAGATATGAATAAAATGTTAAAAAACACTAATTATCAAACCCCTTAGTGAGTGAAACGTGGAGGATGTAGTCTATGCTGCGGTCTATTTTAGAGATACGGACAATTTTATCTTATCTTGATTCTTTATGACTCAGCGTTCTAACACACAGAGCAGAAGATGATGTTTAATAGTTAGTACTGACTGAAAAATTACATTAACAAAGACGACAACCAGCTCCTTATATAACCATTTATAAGGCAATGGAGAGAGGGGGGAACCAAAGTCACATCAATTTAAAAGACTGAATTAAATATGCTGCAAGTTTCAGGCTGGCAGCACCAAAATATCTCTGCAACTTCTAAAATTACTGAATATTTTCCCAACTCAAAAGCAATAGCATTACACTTGGGAGTCTCATGGAATTCACCCATTTTGATAGAAAACTGATCATAGTAATTGATCATCTCAGATACAGAAATGTATCATAGAATTTAAAATTTGTAGTGGTTTCAGTTCAAGTGATCTTATCTTTATATTTATTATAAATAAAACAGTAATAGCACAAATAACATATGCACATTAATACTGCTGATATTTATGCACCTTAACTCTTTGAGAAAAACCTTTTCATGTATCTGAAATCAGTTATTATTAACTCAGTAATAGAAGGAATTCATACTTTTCCTTAAAACGGCAGATGGCATGGTATAAGAATATTTAGGTAATATTCTAAAAGACAAATTCCCACAACTAAGAGAAGATACATTTGTTTAAAAATAACGGAAAAAAGTAGCCTGACTTCAGGATGACAATTTTGAGGAAAAAAAATACACGTTTCCATAGAACAGAGGAAAAGCAAAACTGATGATATAAGATCAGAAGTCAAACCTACAATACGAAAGAGAAAAGCAAGAGCACTCTTAGAACTATGGCAAAAGAGTCAAAGGCAAAAAGTAGAATTTTTTATTGTGTAGAATCAAAACATGGTATTCATCTTTTTCCAGGCAGATATTGATACTAATGTAGAAAAGACAATTATTAAGCAAGTATTTTTTAATGGCAGCTAGTATTAAACACAGTTAAAATGTAGATAATAACTAAGATAAATTATAAGTTACACAGTCTAGAAGACAGACGAGAAAGCTAAAGTTCTCCTCTGCCCTATGTCTGGCCAGGTTTAGGCACTGATTTGAATGCATTAGAATAAAAGGAGTTCTAATCTTACTATTTACAAGCTCCTGCTTGCTGGGGTTATTAAAATTATTAGTAAGGGGAAAAAAAACAACAGTATTTCTTTTAGGAAGCGAGATGATCGTAACAGTCATACATACACCCTAGACCATTAATTACAGTTAACTATGTTAACAACTCTACTGAAAACAAGTACTTCTTTTAAATAAGTGAGCATAGACAGCTCGCCTTTACTGTTCTTAGTACTGATGGACAACATAAACACCTTTATGTTAATTTTCAGCAAACCTTTGAATAGTATAAAAATACCAGATAACTCAAAAATAAGTTACTTTTCCATAATAAGCGGCATTGAGGACTGACATTCATTCAGTTAACTGACTAAGCTGTTAAACATTATTACTAAAGAATAAAAACATGGAAACATATGTAAAATCCAATAAACATTTTAACAAAAGTTAGTGAAACAATTCTGTTTTACCCATTATGACAATACAAATTAAACCAGTAAAGATAGCTTCACAGATTAATACGCTCCTTTTCCATAACACTCAGTACCTCAGAACGTTCAGATGATTTAACCCAATTTTGACTTAGCAGCATCACCAACACCTACTGTTAGCTACCTACAGGTACAAGCAAGCACAGAATTTCCATTTTGTGAGGACTCAACCGATATTTTTAAAAGACATCCTTTAGCAAACGCAGGTTATTGTCTCAACATAGTGAAAGCTAAGTAAATTTTACAAGTCTTTTAGCATAGACTGTTATATATCCAGAAGGTTAATCTAACAGTTCTTTCCTAGCTTCAATAACTTATCTGGAAAAAGACGCTCTAAAAGCAAGCAAATAAAACCCCCCTACTGCTTTCATAAATACACCCAATACCTCTTTTCTTCAGAAAGACCCCCCACCCCCCAAAAAAATAATTTGAATCCAAGAAAGCTCTGATAAGAGCACTGAATTTTTAAGGATTGTTTTAGCTAGATTGTTAAAAGACATACTTGTAAATTTGCAAAGTTCTTAGAGAATAAATATATTGATTTGGAGGTAGAACAAATTGTATTCATCCCACCAGTAGAACGGATCACTTTTTGAATACAGAACTCAGTTTATCCCTTTCTATGAAGATGCTGACATCAACAAGATCAGGACTCAAAAACACCAAAGCAGTCTACTGTCTCAAAGATAACTATCATTCAGTTAGCGCTATCATACAGAACTAAATATCCATTATATCACCTTAGTGTCATCACAGAAAATCATCATAGAAGAACAGCAATATGCTTGCTTATCTCAAAATCTCAGCAGCACATAGAAGCTCTACTGAAAAACTTTATTAGCTTTAGCAGAACAGTAATTTCGTTAGAAGGAAAGTCCACTCTTCAGAAAAGAGACAATATTTTACCTGTCAAATCATAACACAATTACATTCCAAAGAGCCCCACCTCCTATAATCACTCCTAAAAGACAGATTTGCTTGCACATGATCAAAAGCGTAATTTTACAAACATTACTAAATAGCAAGTTTAAGAAACCAACAACCTCACGCAAAGATTCCCAAGTAATCAGAGCTGAATAAATTTCAATATCACTTTTAAACACTAATGTAATACTCACTGAAAAGCATAATACCTACATCAGCAGTTAAAGTAACAGTAACAGTTGAAAGGCATCTCCGGGAGAGAAACGGTCTCCCACCTAGAGACCACACCTAGCAAGGATTCCACTAGTTGGTCCGTACTTCTTCTGAAATACAACTCTTATTTTGAATAGAAAAATTTAATGACACTGAATAAAATTATGGCTCAGGGAAATTGCCCAATAATTTCTAAATCCTTCAATAAATTATCTAATAATAAGCAGTTTCAGCTTTTCAAATTGATCACCTTGTCTACATCTGGCAAAATATTAAGTACCCAAGCAGATATGAATAATCATTTGAAACAGTGCACTAAAGCAGGACTGAAGTACTGTG